TGAGGCTGGCCCCCTTATTGCTCTAGAAACGGACATAGAGGAGATGGTGTGGCAGACGCCAAATCAGAAACAGAAGTGGAAAACACCAGTAGTTTCTCAAAAATGATTATGCCATCCCTACAATTTTTTCCTTTCAGCCCTCCCTTAATTTGGGAAATTTCCATAAAGAATGACTGCAATCATTCATTGAAACTGCCGTGGTCTTCTGAGGAACTTTGACGATGTCGAGTTTCACTTGGAAGAACATTGGTCACCAGATCTATGTCTGCAAGAAACTCGTCTCAATCGTGTAGTACAAATTTTCATAGGCAGTGTTGCATTTATAAAACAAAGTAGAGATGCCGCGTCTGTTTCTGCGGGAGGGGTTGCAATGATTGTTTTCAAGCACAATCCCTGCGGTGCGGTCAATTTAGCCACTGGACTCTAGGTAGTGGCGGTGCGCCTCCTCCTTCACAAAGTGGTCACAGTGTGTTCCTTGTACATACCTCCCTCCCTCGTTTGCCCTTAGCTTAAGTGATGTTACTGCTTTGACTCCAACACCTGGAACTTTTTTTTTACTGAGAAATTTTGATGCCCACAACTGTACGTTGACTCCAGTGGTCGAATGATTAAATAAATTTTAATGTCTCATTCACTTTTTCTTTTTAACACGGGAGAACCGACCTATTTTATTCCATCACCATAATTATCCTCGTGTATTCACCTTTCTATCGGTAGTGCTTCAATTTTTATATCTGTTACATGGGTCGCAGACACTTACCAAAATGGAAATGATCCCTTTACGATTTTCTTGAAAAACAATTCATCCCTTATAAGCGCGTTCCGATGCGGACTGCCCGTTTAAAGTTTGAGAAAGCGGATTGGTCTGTTTTACCGAGGCGACGCAGCTTGCGTGGAGATCATTTTGTCAACTCTCGTGGACCAAGTTAGAGAACTGTCAGTTAGTGCAACATATCTTACTATTCCTATCACTTACAGGCCCCTTTCTCGGATACCCAAGCCATGGCGAAATAAAGAGTGTACTGACCCGCAAAACAAAAAAGCAAAAAAAAAAAAAAAGAAGAAAAAAAGGAGTTCATGGGGTATTTTTTGACGTTGCCCCACACAGAGAAGTCTTCTCGCGTTCAAACAATTGAAATCTCGGACAAGATACATTCGCCGCCAGTGCAAGCGAGAAAATATCCAGGGGTTCAACTCTTTCACTACTAGCATTGCGACATTTAAATGAGTCTGGGACAAAGTTGATCGGATCGAGAGGCGATACCATGATTTCTCAGTCCCTCTTCTCTTCCAGAATGACATATGTCCAGAGATCCTAGAGGGGCATGCTAATATTGTTGCCCAGCATTTTGCTCGTACATCAAGTTCCGCACACTCTTCCCCCGAATTCCTTTGACACAAAATCAACACCTCACGCAGCACGAACTTGAAATGGTCCTTCGCTCAACTAAGCCTTCAGCTTCTGTACCTGATGGTATACACTACTAGATGCTTACACACCTCAATCCCTCCACTCTACTCCTTGTTTTATACATTTGCAATCGCGTATGGCAAGAGGGCAGGTTCCCACTGGCATGGAAGGTAGCTACAGTCATACCATTTCTGAAATCCGGGGATGCTTCTCCAGTATCTAGCTACCGTTAAATTCCCCTCACTAGTTGTCTAAGCGACCGATCGCTAATAAGAGGCACATGTACTTTTTAGAAAAAAAAAACCTATTAGACAATAATCAATGTGGGTAGGATCCTGCCATTTTACAGTTGTCCATTTGGCTCGTCTTGAACTATAATTCGTGAAGCCTTGGTTAATAAAAACCACTGCTTATCGGTGCTTCATAATTGGAGAAGGCATATGATACGTCATGGCGCTATGGAATTCTTCGCGACGTGTATGAAGTAGCGGTACGTGTGAGGATGTTCGCTACGATAAAGAGCTATCTCTTCGAACGAACCATTTTTGTTAAATTGGGTGCAGCTCTTTCCGGAGAGTTGAATCTGGAAATTTTAGTTTCACAAGTTCTTGTCTTCAGTGTGACTATCTTTATAGTCAAGATGAACTCTACTGTCTGGTCAATACCACCATCTGTGCAATAATATAATAATGTAGACCATCGTCAGATCTCAGTCACATCATGCGATTTTTCCGTCTGCGAGCGTAGACTTCAAGTTGCGATCGACAACCTCCTTAAGTGGGAAGAAAAAATAGTTTTAGGTTTCCTTCTGATAACACTGCATGTTTGCTACTCTCGCAGAAAGGGAATCTTCGTATAGCCTTCGTTACGAATGCACCAGACTCCCATCCCAGCAAAGAAAGAACATAAGTTTTTGGGCCTATTTTCGACCATCAGCTGTCCTCTACGTCTCACATACAAAACATAAAGATACAATGCCAAAAATCTCTGAGCGTCCTTAAACGTCTGTCCCACAAGACGCTCTGATCGGCTTTGTCGTTTACAAATTTATCGCTCTGTGATTTGCTCATATCTGGAATATGGTAGCTTTGTATACTGATCTGCTAGGCAATCAGTTCTTAAGGTGCTGGACCCTATTCATTATCAGGGACGTTTGGCAATGAAAGCCTTCAGAACGTCACCTGTTCCCAGTCTCTATGCTGAGGAAATTGAGATGTCCCTTGAGAGACGGCTATTCTCCTCGGGATTTACGTATCCATTAAGGATAGGATCAGTGCTCAGCATCCAACCCGGGAGGCTGTAGAGAGCACAAAAAATCAGAGGCCATTCGAAAACAAGCCTAGCATTATCCCTTCATTTACGCTGAGAAATAGGAATGTGGAAGAGTCCGTTGGGATTGACAACGAGCTCCCAGGTGCTACACTTCCAAAGAAGGTTGTGCCATTTGATTTTAACTGCATACGCTGTCATATTTCCCTAACGAAGTTTAATAAGAAGGATACCCCAACTGAGGAGAGCAATAATAATTTTTCGAACTCCACAAGCAACCTGATTCTCATTCCCACTATTACACAGACAGCACAAAATCTCAAATGATTTGTTGGCTGTGCCATGACCGGCTCTTCAGTAAGAGGTGTTCGTAGGTTAAATTTGTCTGCAATAGTTTTCACTGCTGACCTGCACTGCATTCTCCTTGTGGTAGATGACATCGTCCGAACAGTAATTCCCGGTCAGTTGTATATACAAAAACGCAGCGTGCCTTACGAGCTTTGACATAACTTCCAACCGCAAAAAAACACCCTCGTTGTTTTACTGCAAAACAAAACAGTAGCAGCGACCAGAAAGGGTTATTGTTCTGGTCTGCTGGGTACCGAGCCATGTCGGAATTGCAGGGGGTGAAGAGGTAGATCATGCTGCGAGCACTTGTGGCAGCCGTGCTGTAGACAATAGCATTCCATTCTAGGATTTCTGTGCCTTAATCAAATATCATGTTAAAGCTCAGTGGCAAGCGGAATGGGACTTATACGTGGCAAACAAACTGTACATGATAAAGCTTTTTCTCAGTGAATGGGAAAGTGCTAGGTAAAGAGACAAGTTTTATGAGGTAGTCCTTTGTCGTCTACGCTTGGGCACACGCGGCTCAAGCATGGACTCCTCTTACGTGGGGAGGACCCTCCTGAATGTGAACATGGACAGGGAACTTCGAGTGTTTTGCATACCCTTTTTGAATGTACTTCTTTTGATGATAAACGCCGCCAGTGCTATCCCCAGCTCTACAAAGAACATGTCCCTTTACATTTACATGTGTTACTTGGAAATGAGCCACTGCTCACACCCGCCCAGGTTTTTAAGTTTCCAGAAAGCATTGTCTACGTGAATTGGAGCCTTATTTACGTGAATTGGAGCCTTATTTATGCGTCAAGGTCCTTTTCATTTGTTTTAGATTTTTCACGTTCATAACTTCATAAATTACAAGCTAGTGAAGCTCTTTCCTCTCCTAAACCCCGTTTATGCAATAGTTTAATTTATTGGCGCATCATAAGCTTATACTCCTGTCAGACGGGCATCTTGAATGTCATTCACGCTAAAGGCCTTTAGGATTTTCAAATCACATTTAAGTCGTGTCGTGTCAGACGGGTAACTCAAATGTCATTTGGGTGATGTCTATTACGATAGCGGTTTGTTGTTAACCTATCAATGTAGTGTTTGTATTATTGTTAACCCGGTAACTAGTGGTTATTTAATTGTTTACTAAGTAAATAAAATATAATGAACTCTCAGAACACAGAATTCAAACACGGTGATGAAAACTAAGTGCACGTTTTGACGCAGACAAGCTATTTTGTGGCAACTATGACACTACGTCAGCAATCCCAAGTAATCCGTAGCCGTATCCGTTCCGCCGCTAGGCTCGTCTGCTTTCGGAGCTCCGTGCATCTTGCTCGCCGTTGTTCCTCGCGCCCGTTCGTTCTTCGCCGGATTCGTATACCCCGTTGACGTTTACGTCTGCAATAGATCCAAGCGAAGTCCGTGACCCTGCAGCGATGGAGCCTGCTGACGACAAGGATCGCAGTGCGATGGATCCGGAACGTCGGATCGCGTTCCTGACGTGTCTACACCCACAGAAGCAGAGTGCCTTGACGCTGCCGAGGGCCGACATACAACCTGCCAGTGCAGAAATCGTCCGCCTTTAAGAAAGGCTCCTCACCAACGACCTGATGTTCGCTGCTGTTGAAGCTTCAAGTGTCCTTCAGCGAAGCATTCGAGCGTTCAGGAAGAACGAACGCTGGCTGAGGACACTCTACCCCACTTGCCGGAGCACTTCTTCAAGCAGTCCTTCCGCGTGAAGCCGGTTACGTTTAGGTACCTGGTGGACGATTGTCGGCCCCACATGGAGCGCGAAGTTACCTTCATTCGTTCGACCATTCCGTTGGAGAAGAGGGTTGGTGCTGCGCTGTACAAGTTGTGCTCGAGCGCAGAAGACCGCACCATCGCCATCTTGTTCGGCCTGGGACGGTCTACCGTACACGAGAACTGCAGGGAGTTCTGTGGGGTAGTGTTCTCCGTCCTCGAGCAAGACTGGCTCAAGATGGTAAACGCGGCCGAGCTTCCGGACCACATCCGGGAGTTCCAAGCTGCTCTAGAGTTTCCCCAGGGTATAGAGGTGCTGAATGGCTGCCACTTCCTCATCTCACCACCGAAGGTCAACGCGAGCGACTACCACAAGCGCAAGGGCTGGTAGGTAACCTTTACTTAAAAGAGAATGTGTATGATTATCTATGGACTGCTAGAACCTATAACACATACGTTGAACTTCCTGGCCCTTTAGAAAGTCGGGGATTTTTTTTTCAAACTGCTAATCGCAACAAAAAAGAAACAATTTCTCTAATAATTATTGAGTGTGAATTCCTATCAGTAAACAAATTCAATGAAGCTGGCCAAACTGAATGATGCAAACTCGTTACAGCTAGCAAGGGTTCTAAAATGCGTCCTTGAGGCATCGAAACATACAGAGGGGCACGCCAAGCAAACGGCAACGGAGAGAACGCATACGAAAATTGCAATGATGAGGCAGCCAACTCGTGCCGTCATTGGTCAAGGGGAAACCAACCCACATGGGCACATTTCAGGGGCAAACAAACGCACAAGGTGCGCAAAAGCAGACAAACTCGCACGGCAAATTGTTTCAAAAATTTCGATTTTAATAAAATGTACGTGCATCAAACATTTCTCCCGATCAATTTTAATATGGTGATATAAGCTACACGTGTTTCATGATATGGAAGTTATGAAATGACTATCCCTAAACACGAGATGCCAGTAACTGATAGTCAGATTTTACACTTTTACTGTTATGTTTAGAAGCTATGTACGTCTCTGTTCTGCGGAGTTTTAACGAATTGTGCTGTGCTGTCTACTTCCGTTTTGAATATCCAGTTTTGAGCACTGTTTGACCACAGCATGATATATTCAACACCCATGGAGCTGATATATGCCTTGTAATGTTTGTATCCAGGTATAGCATCATCCTGCCGGTCCTCGTAGACCACTGGTACCGGTTCCGGTATCTGAACGTCGGGACACCTGGGCAGTGCCACGACGCACCTGTGTACCGGAGGCCGGCTCTGGCGGCCGTTCTGGAAGGACGAACGCTGCAGATGCCCATGGTCACTGTCAACGGGACCACCGTGCCGCCCCTGATCCTGTGTGACCAGGCATTCCATTTAATATCCAACATGCTCAAGCCGTACCCTCGCAAGAACGTTAAGAAAGGCTCTCCCCTGGAAGACTTCAACCGACAGCTGTCGTCTGCTCGCCGAGTCGTGGAGAACGATTTCGGAAGGGTCAAGGCCCGATTCCGCTTTATTATGAAGAGGATGGAGTGCGAGGTGGGACAATGCCCGGCTTGTTGTGCGAGCCAGCTGCATTTTAAAGAATGTGTGCGAACATTTCAACGACGGTGTCGAGCCCCAGTGGCTCAGCGACGTGGCGACGGAGGAAAATGATCTATCTGCAACCGGTGTTCACCACAGATGCCGAGGTAGACAACGGGCAAAGTGTCAGGGATGCCGTTGCGGGGTATCTCACCAACGCTCGAGGCAGATGTCTAAATGAAGAGCTCAAGTGGCTGCTCTTGTCTGCAGCGACAGAAAGCCCAAGACCACAGACCCTGACAGCTACGAGGGCCCTTTCCAGTGCTTGAAAAACAAAACACCCTTATAAGGGCCACACAAATCTGGCCTTGGAGCGTAAGACTTGCTGCCAACTTCCGTGTCCCATGTGAAGTCTCATGTTTCGGTCAAAATGCTTAGCCTTCTGTAAGCTTTCATGTGGCTTTTATAGCACAATTTTAATAAATGTTAAGACATTGACGGCCCAAATATAAGTTCAAGCATCTCTAATAGCTACTATGTGCAATAAAAGGAAGCTTATAAAACAAAAGATCACCTGAAAGGGTCACCGCTGGAGTATAAGATATACCAGCGCCTGTTCGGGGGATTCTTTCAACTGTTGCTTTCCATGAGAGTCGCAAGAAAAATATATTATGGGTGTGCGAATGGTATAATTTCCACAAATTAAATTGAATATTCCCAAATAGTTGGCAAACAGTCAAATGTATAATAAAATATTGAATCCCAAGAACTTTATTTGGAGGCTCCACATGCCAAACCAATGCAGGGCATCTGGCACAACTTAATGAAAATCTGGGGATTAGTGTAGGTCACCTAGGAACCTTGAGGTAAAACTGATATCTCGGTTACACAGCGCCCTCTCCGCAACAAGCCTCCGTCAGATTGCGGGCACCACGGACAGGATTGGATCCCGCCAACTGGGGATCCGTAGGTAAACGGTGTGCTCTAGAGCCACCGGGCAGCTACTCTCAAATGTAATGTTAATGCACACCGGGACAGCTGACATGGCAGTTTATGTGGCATTTTTATTCATGAAGGCCATCAACGCAGTCGCAAGCTCCTGCTGCACCTTGACGGCGGTTTCCTCAGGACGATTTCCCGCTCGCGTAGGGCGAACTCTCTCCCTCTCCAAGCCTCAAAACTCTGCCGGAGCAGCCTCTGTTCATCGATCACCGTTTTTATGTATGCGGTGCTCAGAGCTTGCGGCCTCTTCCTTTTTTGTGGCCTCGGCGGCACGTTGCTTGTGCCATTGACGCTGCTGGGCCCCTGCTTGCTGACACTTTTAGTGGCGGGGGTGCTGGCAACTTGGCTTTCCTCACCGCGCAGCTCCTCTCCTGGTACCTCGACGGGTTCCTCTAAGTAGTCTGTGTCGACCATGCTTCTTTCTTGCATGTCTGAAAACAACTGAGAGGAGTACCACACAAGTAGCTTCTCCTGTTGAGCTAAAAAAGACTGCAGCAAGCAGTTAGGTGCCACCCAAACCCATTATACAAGGGGTACTCAAAAGTAACGGAACTCCAACCCTGTGTACAAATGCTTTGTAGTTGACAATCGCGATGCTAGGTATTACTAGCATAGTTTTATGCATCAGTGTGCAAAAGTGCTATAGCTCTATACTTTGCTCCAAAGACAGCATTCAACGCTCTCAAAGATACTGGCACGAGCACGGGACTTCTATTATGAATAATTTTGGACATGCTTTCGTGCACATTAAATATTCGATATAGCCAAGCTCTTGTGCCAGTACCTTTGAGAGCATTGTACACTGTGCAAGGAAAGGAGTGTAGCGTAAACGATTGAGCAGGCACCCACAAAACAGTTGAAGATATCCACAAGAACATAAGAAAGGACGATTGTTAACGTTTGATAGCAGAAAAACAGGAAGGGCCCAAGTAGGGTAGGCGCCTTATCTATAGTATGCACCCTTTATACAGTATAGCCATAGTCTGGCAGAACCCCGAATTTTTAAAGCAGCCACAATGCTCCACTCCAGTTGAAGCTCTCGCATCCAGCTTTACCGCATTGCACCGTCACACGCGTGCTAAGTTTCGTCGCTTTGCAACGGCTTGTCGAAAAAGCAGCCAAAGCAGAGGAGTACCTTGATTAGCTTGGTGCACACTGCTTGGTGGGCAATTTTCAAAAACAATTTCATGCATTTGCCAGTGGCTGCCACTTTTACATTGAAAGGATTTGTTGTTAAGAAATGCAGAAATTTTTCTGAGAGGAACCACTAAACCTACCTCCACTACTGCCAGTGTGGCAAGGTTGGAAGCCAAGCTCTCATCCACGAGGGCCGTGTCATTCAGGGGTAAGGGCCCCAACAGTCGGTTGAGGTCCCAGAAGTAGGGCCACTTCATTGCGCCGGACCCCGGCGTGGTCCCCTCCCTCAGATGTTTTCTGAAAAATGGAATTGCAGTGAGTGGCAACCTTATGGCATTGCTATTGATGTATGTGTAACACCCTGTATGACAAACAATTTTCCGGAACATTCTCAGAATAAAGAGGTAAACACATGATACTGCTGGCTATATCGTGCTTACATACATAACCAGAAGAAGTGGCAATGTAGCATTTGAATATGAGATTGTCCCACATCAGATTATGGGACCTATAAACTGACATTTAATGAGATATAGTAGTCCTCCATCCTGCTACCTGTTTTAAGTGTGTCAAGTCATGCCAAGGTGACAAAAAGGATTTATTGGATCGGAATTAAATTAATTTTATTTAAGTGACTGAAGCTCGTAAATAATTATTTTTATCACTAGATTTATATTTTAAACATGGTAGATTGATTGATCACTTTGTATGATCACTGAAAACAATACAGAAGAATTACCATAACATTCAATTACTCATGGATTAACTACTCTTATTTTATGTAAACTGCACCGTAGAAGAAACAAAAGTTGATCTTTGTTTAGTTAGTGAAAAAGCTTTTTTTTCGCGTTCTCATGCTTGCAATAAGACATTACTATTTTAGTTTTCGTTTCCTTTCTTCCGCATTCTGAAATTTTCTTGCCATAGGTCGTTCGTTGCGTAACTGACTAACGAAGTGGAAAGTAGAAATCAAGCTCAAAGCTCCGATTTTTTCACAAGGGCACTGTGGTCATGTTCAGCCTGGTCTAAATAGTTCTTGCTTGATGTTTTGATTTAAATGCAATTGCATATAGAAAGTAGAATGTAAATAAAACGTTTTTGGGACATATTTCTTTGCGGAAAAGGGTTGATTTAAATCATCATAGTAAAATCGGTCTAATCCAGGTTGAAAATTTACATTAGGTTCCAATAGGAATTTTTTTATTGGTAACAATTGGGTTTTGGGACAACCAATTGGTCACTGCCAATGGGAAGTGGGAGCGCGCTGACATGTCCGACTCTGTGCAGTAGCCCGCGATGAAACCCTTTTTAAAAGTGTACATGGTGAGATACGACAAGGATATAAATGGGCAATGTACAGTGTGTCACAAAAACAATTCAAGGTCTTTTTTTTACCGCAAAATAAACTAGGCATTGCCGGACGCTCATTCTCCGCCCAAAGGTAGCACTGGAGGTCACAACCAGATGCCAAAGTTTCAGCCCGATCCGATAACTTAATCAAAAGTTATAAGGAATTTTTTTTAAATTTCAATGGGAAAATGGAGCCCATTTTTTGCCCGTTTTCGGTTTCCGCTGCCACAGAGCCCCATGTATTTGAAAACTTCGTTGGCCGCCCTTTCTCCCATTTAGCTTCTTCCATCAAACTTTCCGACGACATTCCGCACAAGTTTCGCGTCGCAGGTGAACTCGCCCTCGTCATCGTCGCGGCGGTGCGCCACTTTGCTTGCGGTGCAAACAGACGGGGCACATCCACACGGAGTCCCACGTCCCCAAATGCAACGTGTGCCGGCGGTTTGGCCACGACGGCACCGAGTGCGTCAGGACCTACGCGGTGGCCACATCGTCCGTGCAAAGCGAGGAGAAATCTGAGCTTTTCATGGACGGAGCTGATGCTGAGGAGGTCATCTTGGGTCCAGACGTCAGGGCTGCGCCAACGCCAAGCGCTACGGCTGCACCCGAGGGCGACGCGGCTCGTACCGCGAACAACGTGGCACTGGGTGCCGGGAAGGCACGCAAGGCTGAGCTTTCGGTCGTTGTGTCCGTCGAGGCGCCGGAACCTGGTAACGAGACACCTGCCGTGCGCGACGACACCATCCCTGAAACGGCAGGCGACGCGCCCATAAAAGTCCTGGACGCCTCGGCAGGCGGTCCGGCCACGAAACGCACGAGGGAGGACGTGGGCGCGGACCGCGACGCGACGAGCCAGGAAGAGCCACCTTCAAAGGTGGCGCCCCTCAGGAGGATACGGTTTGATATCAAGTCGAACGTTTTTGCAGACTACCGAAAGGTGGCGAAGCCACGTCCTGAACTGGCGTGCCTGGGCCCTTTCCGGACATCGGATTCCGCGTGTCGTTCGGTCAGACCCTCGGAACCCGTGGTAAACGCTATAGGGTCTTTCTCTCCCTGGAATGGCATAAATCTCCAGGCGGCCTTACGCGTGGCCACGATGAATGTTAGTGCTGTGGCAGTCAGGCGTTGGCAGTGCCAGCTGTGCCGGCTTTTGTGAGAACGAGCTGGACATTATTGCCGTTCAAGAAACAAACATGGAAAGCCAGAAGCAGACTGATCGTATGGCGCGGCCTTTTCAGAATTATTTTATCGTTTGCGCGTCGCCCGCTATGGGCTTGTCCAGCGGATGTTGTCTGTTTATTCGCCCGTCGATCGGGGCTGTGGGAACAGCCGTGCATCCTTGCGCTTCCCCTCGTAGTGCATTGCGTGGCTTTTTTCTTTCTAACGTTGTTTGGCGCGTTATTTGTTCGTACACGCCAAATCGCGAAGGTGAATTCAATTTTTTTTATATCCCGGAACGTATTTTTATTGCAATCGAGTCTTTATTTGTCTTGGGGATTTAGAAGATCGAGCGAATCTTGCTCCCATTCGATATTCAAGTTCTTTTTGTTTGAACGATCTTGTTTCCGAGTATTTTTTGCAGGACACTGCGGCCTGCGTGAGTCAGGCAAATGTGCAGTTCACGCATTTCCAAGGCCGTAACCATGCGATGCTGGATAGGGCGCATATCTCGCTGGATCATT